GGCATCAAGGAAATTGGTTCTGCTACTTGTCCCTCCAAACCAAGTCGTCGTAATACTCGTTGAATACGTAAAAGTTCTTTACGATGACGGCACAGTACCTGTACATCAGCTGTACGCTGTTCTAATCGTTGCCGAAGCACTGCATTTTCCTCTGAGAGAACTACTACTCTATTGTTAAGGTCTTCATTTTCTGCATTCAGTTTTTCTACCGTGCGTTCCACCATGGCAAAGGGACTATTAGAATTATTCAAAGCCTCACGTGCCATTTCTAGTGATGCTTGCAGACGTGCGATTTGCTTATCTTTAAACTCAATATCATGCTGCAATGCTGTCACACGGTTCTCTAGCTGTAGACATCGCTTCGTTACCGTTAGAGCATGTGCGAGTTTGCGTGATCGCGGCAAGGCTAACCAACTCTCATAATTGTTTAAAGCGTTCACAGATGTAGGTGCAGTTTGTGAGCCACCAGGACCACTACTGACTGCATTCGTCACAGCCACAGGAGCCGCAAGTGAGATCTGCCCATCACTCTGCTGCGCCAAGTTCGATATAAATAACTCTGATTCCAACTCAAGATCTGAAAGTGTCTTAAGCTTCTCTTCTGCTGCTTTAAGACATGCCTCAAGTTCCATCACACGTTGACTGTTTTTTAATTTTAATTCATAATATTCCGATTTTAATATGTCTAATTTTTGTTCCGAGCATTCTGCACTCGTCTTGTACCGCTCTGCTTCCATTTCCGCCTCACGCAATCGAACCGAAAGCCGCGTGGCCTCTTCCGTTTTTATAGAAGCAGTTAATTTTGCGGTGAGAAACTGTTCCTGATCCATATAAGCGTTACGCAGTCTGGCTTCCAAATCACGTGATTTGCCTTCTAACTCCACAACCGTACTGCCGCGCTGTTCTGCTTCTTGTAGTTGACGACGAAACGATTGCCTCTCCGCCTCCACAACAGCCTCTAATTCCTTCAATCGCTGTTGCAATTCCTTGTTTTCACCGGTGAGACGTGCCGTTTCCGTGGCCAATTCTGTTGCCCGTTTCACTGCTGTATCCTTTGAGGCCCGCATCGTTCCCAGCTGTTGATAGATACCAAGTCTCACCGTATCGAGGAGATCCCGCTTTCCCTCTTCTAACGAGTCAATCGCATGATACTCCTCCTCCGTCACGGGGTTCATCAACTCCATTCGTATTTGCGACTTGAGACGATCCACCTGCGACTGCGTGGCGGCGAACTGCTGCTGCAGACGAAGTGTGAGTGCCGACACCTCCACCTCTCGTCCCCGCAGTCGTGTGTTCTCCTCCTGCAGAATTCGAATCTCATCCTTCTGCCGCTCAATCCGCTGCAGCAAATCACGCGAGGAACTTGGCAGACCGACGAGTACCGACGGGGTGCCGCCACTTCCATCCGTAACACTTGTGGCATCATCCGTGAGACTCGACGTTGTGGCCTGCGACGACGACAAGCGACGCTGACGGGCCGCAGGACTCGCCATCGACATGCAGTGTGAACCCTCACAAGGATAAATACACTTAAATAAAGAGAAAGAGAGAAAGAGAAAAGTAGACATATTAACAAGTAGATATGAAGTATTCCACTGCACCAGCCAGTGGGCAAGAAAACAGGCCACAACATTACCAACAACACTAATAATAATAATAATAATAAAAAGAAATGAATAACAGATAATGGTGAGGGCGGAGTACAAAACATCCAGAACTGCTGTAGACCCTCCACGCCACATCACTCCATTATATTATTACCCATAAAAGTAGAAAAGAAAAGAAAAAAAAAACCCACGCACTCCAGCAGCTGCTCCCCGTGGTTCCAAAGCCTCAACAGTAAGTCTTTAGGGAGCAGCCCGGCACGTGTTGCAAAAAGAAAAAGATCATTTACCAGTGTGTATTCCACCCAAGAAGAACACTCATAAAAAGAAGGAAAAGCAATGCTTTAGAACCCCTTGTTTCTCCTACTATCCTCCACACACAAAAAAAAAAGAAAACAAATTTCATATGAAACACCAACATCTGTTCATGCAGTCATTGTTATCAAGCAAATACGGCACATCACAATGACAGTGATCAAAAACAGAGAAGGGATCATATATAACTCAATAAAGCAATTTAATTAAAGCCCAAAGAAATTAAAATGATGTGTAGAAATCAAAAAAGAAAACGAATTATCACGTTCCACACAAATGTATATAAGAGACTGAGCTCATGGAGCCATTATCACAGAGAGTGTCAAGAAAACAAACATAACACTCGCGAAAACAGAAGCTTTAAAAGAACCATCAGTACCTTTTTTCGCAACAATATTATTATTCTGCCCACTCAAAAATGAGGTAATGTTTTCTTCCTTGGTTTCACTGGGTTTTGATTCTGTGGTCGTACTTGCCCCATTTTGTACCACCGGCGCTGTAACCTCCTCGCTACCAGCAGCACTTTCACTTGGTATTGCGGTTCCAGTAGTCTCAGTGACGGGTTGAGTACCATCCGACAGTGCAGTGGTTTTCTCAACTTCTGTTTCACTTGTTTTGACTTCTTTAACAGGGTCTGGGTCTGTTGCTGGACCTTTTGATTCATCCAGAGTTTTGTTGATTGTATTGCACACATCAGCGTATTTGGGGCACACAATTTCACCCTTCAGCACATCCCCCTTCACAGTTAGATTTTTTCCTTCAGGACAACTGTACCAATCATTGTTTCCACTGTACCGCACAATTACCTTCTTGAACTTGCAAGACACCTCCACACACACGGCACCAACTGCTGCTTCATCTTTGATAGTCTTTAGTTCCTTACCCTGCACACAACGTGAGTTGTTAGCAATTACACTTCCAGGCATTTGGTTCTGCTCCCCATCGATGCAGCTCTTCTGAGGTAATGCCTTAATAAACGGGCAGTAATCCATTTGTTCAGATTCTTCTGAACCAACCTTCTTCGTGTTCTCTGAAAAGTATTGGAATCCCACCGGAAGATCGTTCTTAACGGGGCTGGCTCCAATGCTGCTGCACCTCCCCAGCGACTGGCGGTCAGATGTGCACTGCAGTGACTCAGAACTGTCAGTGGATGTGGATGTGCAGAACATGTTGGGTAACTGGGTTTCCCCGCTGTTAACGCACTTATCCTCCAATAATCCACATCCAGAGTTATTGCCCCAACTCATCTGCTCTGCCATTGCCCAATTAACTTTGTAGTAGCGCAGATCAGCGAAAGCTCCCATTGTAATTGCGGTGTAGTAACCAGCACCGACGAGACCAGCCATTAACTCATCCTTTGCAATACGACGACTCCAGTGAGAACGTGTCATCTTACTTCCGTGGTTTGACATAAACGTAGGTGCCTCAACAATACACATTTTACTACCCTTCTCAGTCTCCACCTTTTTATCATCAGTGCATTCGCTCGAGGGTTCAGATGCGGTCACTGCAGCTTGAACGTGTAGTGAATGTCTTTTTGAAAACACATGTGATGAATGATGTACATTCTGTGTAAACTTGGCAGCACTGGAACCCTCTTCTTCACGTCTCTCTTGCACAACACTGCCAACAGACTCCTCCCCTGGCAAACGACCATCCATAACATTACTGTGTGATTTTCCCAGCACATATTCCTCTTGTATACTTGCAACCTGAGCGAGGATGGTTGATGCTCTTGCGGTTAATGTTGTTCCACTTACAAACGCCACACCTTGCAGTTCCATGCCTTCTGCCGAATCACAGTTATAATGCTTCATAGTCTCTCTCCGTGTGTTATCTGCAGAAACAACAAAAACATCTTCTTTATCGCGCAAAGAATCAACTTTACCCACCAACCTATCCATCTTCATCAGCTCGAAATTGAAACCAAGTGCATGGGCAATCTCATGAGCAGCAACGCGGACACGCTGTGGTGTGCCCACAATATACCGTGGACCGTAATTAATGATTCCAACAACTGGACGGCCATTAGGACCTAATGTCGCACATGTTGCCGCCCACGCGAATGTTTCCTCAGGCGTCGGCTCTGCAGCAGCAAACAGGACCATATCATAACCGGAAATTCCCGTACTTCCACCATCTGTTGGTATAGTGAACTGGGAACAAAGAGCATTTGGCTTGGAGAACTTCGGCATGACAATAGGACCCTTCAAAGGTTCAACCAAAAGACGTTCCTCGTGCAGTTTAATTGCCTCAGGAAGAATCTCTTCAACAAGAATTTTCTCTTTTTCTGGGGTCAAAACATCATGATCTGTGCAAGTAAATTCTTTCTTCAATAAGGTTTCAATCTTACCATTGACCTTATCTGAACAAGAGCGACCCTTTTTTAAATGATCAGTAACAAGTTTAATGCGAATCTTCTGCCATCCATTCGTGGGGTCTTCTCTGATAGGGGGTTTGGCTTTCGCAGTTTGCAACAATTCGGTACTTTTCTTGGGATTCAATGTGCGAAGAGTCTCATGTTCACTTAGAACATAAGAAGTACCCAGTTTTGAAGACACTGTGTGAAACATGCAGCGGTGGTGCTCTGTCACAGCAAGAGTGACAAGGGTGCAGTACAGAAGGAGCAACGGAGCAAACAAGAAGAGACGCCGCATTCCTTCACGTGTAATCTTGAAGGGTTTGTGTATTTGTGTGTCTGTATGCAGAAGAGAAGAAAAAGAAATATTGGCAACAGAAAGTCAAATGCAGGATTGTCAAGCATAGAAGGAAAAATAAGGAGGAAATGGGTTACTACAACCCCACCTATAGAAAAAGAAAAAGAGAGAGACACATATGAAAGTAACAGAGAGCCACTGTCAAGCAGACTGTGGATACGCACAATGAACACGTGGCGGGGCCGCATCAGCCCCACTGCACGGGCACAGGCGGTGGGAGGGGGTTGTGTCAGAAACGCACAGAGTGCAACATCAATGGGATCAGGCGTTTTGTTAGGATACAGCGATTGAGTGTCATCAGTAACAGCATACACTAAGGGAACCTTACAGAGAAAGAAACTAAGCAGAGAAAAAGGGAAAGAGAGAGAGAGAGAGAGAGTATTCCACTGCACCAACCAGTGGGCAATAACACAGGCCACAACATTACCAACAACAAGAACAATAATAAAAGGAAATGAATAACAGAGAATGGTGAGGGCGGAGTACGAAACATCCAGAACTGCTGTAGACCCTCCACGCCACATCACTCCATTATATTATTACCCATAAAAGTAGAAAAGAAAAGAAAAAAAAAACCCACGCACTCCAGCAGCTGCTCCCCGTGGTTCCAAAGCCTCAACAGTAAGTCTTTAGGGAGCAGCCCGGCACGTGTTGCAAAAAGAAAAAGATCATTTACCAGTGTGTATTTCACCCAAAAAGAACACTCATTAAAAGAAGGAAAAGCAATGCTTTAAAACCCCTTGTTTCTCCCGTTATCCTCCACAGAAAAAGAAAACAAATTTCATATGAAACACCAACATCTGTTCATGCAGTCATTGTTATCAAGTAAATAAGGAACATCACAATGACATTGATTAAAAACAGGCAAGGGATCATATATAACTCAATAAAGCAATTTTATTAAAGCCCAAAGAAATTAAAATGATGTGTAGAAACGACAAAAAAAAGAAAACGTATTATTGCTTTCCACACAAATGTATATAAGAGACTGAGCTCATGGCAGCATTATCACAGAAAGTGTCAAGAAAACAAACATAACACTCGCGACAGAAGAAACTTTAAAAGAACCATCAATGCCTTTCTTCAGAGTAACATTAGTATTCTGGCCATTCAAAAATGAGGTAATGCTTTCTTCCTTAGTTTCGCTGCGGTTTGCTTCCATGGTCGTACTTACCCCATTTTGTACCACCGGCGCTGTAACCTCCTCGCTACCAGCAGCACTTTCACTTGGTCTTGCGGTTCCAGTGGCCTCAGTGACTGGTTGAGTACCATCCGACAGTGCAGTGGTTTTCTCAACTTCTGTTTCACTTGTTTGGACTGCTTCAACAATGTCTGGGTCTTTTTCTGGACCTTGTGATTCATCCAGAGTTTTGTTGATTGTATTGCACACATCAGCGTATTTGGGGCACACAATTTCACCCTGCAGTACAGTCCCATTCAAAGTTAGATTTTCTTCTTCAGGACAACTGTACCACTTATCGTTTCCACTATACCGCACAATTACCTTGTTGAACTTGCAAGACACCTCCACACACACGGCACCAACTGCTGCATTGTTGTTAGCCTTTAGATCTTTACCCTCCACACAGCGTGAGTTGTTAGCAATTACACTTCCAGGCATTTTAATACCCTCCTCACCATTGATGCAGCTGTAACCTTTCTCTGCTGTAATAAAAGGGCAATAATCCATCAGATCAGTTTTGTTGCCCCCCAATTTACCGTCTGAAAAGTATTGGAAGTGACCTGGAAGGTCCCTCTCATAGGTTTGAATGCTGCACCTTCCCAGCGACTGGCGATCAGATGTGCACTGTAGTCCTGCAGGTCCGTCAGTGGATTTGGTTGTGCAGAACATGTTGGAGAACTTCGTTTCCCCGCTGTTAACACACTTATTATTCAAAAATTCACACTTAGAGTTATTGCCCCAACTCATCTGCTCTGCCATTGTCCAATTAACTTTGTAGTAGCCCAGATCAGCGAAAGCTCCCATTGTAATTGCGGTGTAGTACCCAGCACCGACAAGACCAGTCATCAACTCGTCCTTTGCAATACGACGACTCCAGTGCGACAATGTGATCAATCTTTTGTTAGGTTCAAAGTTTGGAGGAAATTGTACTGTCTCAACAATACACTCTGTAGCACCCGCAAAAGTCTCCACTGGTTTGCCACGACCGCATGTGGTTGGAGATGCGGCCACTGTAGCTTGAAGGTATATTGAATGTCTTTTTGACAACACATTTGATGAATGATGTACATTCTCTGTAAACTTAGAAGCACTGGAACCCTCTTCTCCACGTCTCTCTTGCACATCACTGCCAACAGACTCCTCCCCTGTCAAACGATAATCCAAAACATTACTGTGTGATTCTCCCACCTCATACTCCTCTTGTACACTTGCAGTCAGGACGCGCGGCTCTAGTCGTTGTGTTTGTGGTGGTCGTCCACTCTCAACACGCCCTCGTTTTAGATTACGCGACGTAGCGTCAGCTGCTCCAGATGGTGTTACAATTCCACGTACATTTTGACGTTGGCCATTCCCTCTACTTCCAAATCCTCCTTTACCAATCGGATTTCGCGGAATTGGCACACTTCGCAGTTCCATGCCCTCTGCAGTATCACATTTATAATGCTCCATTGCCTCTCTCCGTGTGTTGTCAGAGGTGACAAGCGCAACGAACGGCCTACCACTCAATGAATTAACTTCACCCACCATACCTTTCCTTTCCATCAACTGGGAATTGAAGCCAAGTGCATGGGCAATCTCATGAGCAGCAACGCGGACACGCTGTGGTGTGGCCACAATATACCGTGGACCGTAATTAATGATCCCAACAACTGGACGGCCATCAAGACCCAATGTCGCACATGTTGCCGCCCACGCAAATGCTCCCTCAGTTGTCGGCTCTGCAGCAACGAACAGCACCATATCAGCCTCTGGAACACCTGTGGTTTTGTGTTTATGTTCTTCCGGTATAAGCTGGGAACAAAGACCATTAGACTCTGAGAACTGCGGCACGACAATAGGACCATTCAATGGTTTAACAAAAAGGCGTTCCTCATGCAGTTTAATTGCCTCAGGAAGAATCTCGTTAACAAGAATATTCTTCTTCTCTGGCGTCAAAACATCAACTTCTGTACAATTAAAACTGTTCTTTAGTGAGGTATTAATCTGTGTCACGCCATCTGAACAGTAATGTCCATCTTTTCTCAAAATATCAGTGACAAGTTTAATGCGAATCGGTTTCCATTCATCCGCAATACGTTCTTCTCTGCCTGCAGGGGTCTTGGTTCTCATACTTTGTGACGATCTGGTATCCCTACGAAGGTTTAATCTTGTCATTTCCTTTAAATCGTCACCTTTAGGTTCAGCACCAACAAGTTTGGACACTCTGTGAAACATGCAGCGGTGGTGCTCTGTCACAGCATGAGTAACAAGGGTGCAGTGCAGAAGGAGCAACGGAGCAAACAAGAAGAGACGCCGCATTCCTTCACGTGTAATCTTGAAGGGTTTGTGTATTTGTGTGTCTGTAAGCAGAAGAGAAAAAAAAGAAATATTGGCAACAGAAAATCAAATGCAGGATACTCAAACAAGCATAGAAGGAAAAGTAAGGAGGAAATGGGAAACCATGACCCCACC